ATGATATAACAATAATAACGAATATGTATTATAAGAAATGGTGAAACAAATTAACACAATTGATTGTTGAGTGTATTTTAATTGTTATTATTTATTATCATTATCATGGAGTGAATAAGTTATCCCTTATTGTCCATTTCTAATCAATTTAAGTCTCATCAATGAATCGATTCTTGTATCATCATTATTGTAAAGAAAACAAAACTTTAGGTGTGGCTCCTTGAGATTATCATCTTCCAAGAACATGATTACATTTCCAACTATAAATTCTGACTCAGAATATATATTTCAGAGGGAAAATATAATAACCATGATGATAAAAAATGAAAAGAGAGAGAGAGAGACTTGAGGAGTGACCGAGTTTCGTTCACATTCATTGTTGATTGATGTTCATTCAGGATATTAGATACACCCAATAATCATCATCATGGGATAAGGAAAAGATCTGATCACCTGAGAATCGAGGTGATAATGGATAAAGAAAACGATGATAATATCAACTGAGTATTGGAACTTATCAATTTAAATACTAGAGACAGAGAGAGAGAGAGAGAATCGTTTGATTGTTAATCGTTGATAATATTTGGCTGAGTGGTAAACATTTCAATTAATTCATCTCAAACTGTCACATAGTAATTAAAATGTAATCAAATCTATGTAATCAGGATAAGAATCTTGTTTTTCTTTCTGATTTAACATGAATCACAATTTATCAATGAGATGGAAAAGTGTAATCAGAATCAAGTATTAAATTGTTGATCATCATGAAAGTGTATCAATAACCACAATTTATTTCACTCGATTTACTGATTAAATTTTGCCTTAAAGGCTTTGGGATAAAAAATCAGCTACAAGATTGTTAACCATTGGGCTCACAATTAAATTAAATTGATGATCAAATGATGATAACAACTCACACATTTAATACAAGTTAATATTTTAAATCAGAGCAACAAAATTAATGCTTCAATTTAAACCAGTTTACAGCAACAATTTAATCATGTAATCAGAATTATCTTCAAGAACATTTTGTTTTCAGATTAATTCATGAACATGATTAAGCTGATGATTTAAGATGATCATCCCAAGTAGATTAACCAAAATTATTGGAAGAGGGTAAAAAACAACAACAACAAACTAATAATAATCATCATCTTTAAATTGTAAAATTAAACTCAATTAGTTAATTTGGTTATCTAACTGAACGTTTAGATAGTTTCACCTACAGATTTAAATCAAATGTTGTTAACATGATACATGATTAAGATGATCATCATGATTATGATTAACTAATAGTATAACTATAATATTCAACACGGAACCTGAAATTAGATCAACACAATTGTAATCAACAACAATAACAGAAGTTATAACAAAATTAAAAGCTTTTAATTGTTACATCAGTTTGACTAATTTGAATTTGATTGTTAATTGCTGGCGTTTACAAATCTAAGTTGAGGTTTCCATTAAAATTTATCTAATCTGGTTAACAAATCTAACCAAAAACAACAACAACAACAACAATTAACAATCATATTTATGTTGATTATGTTGATTTCAGACTAAATAATAACGATAATTGTGAATAGCAATTCATGTTGATCAGTAAATTATTCAAATCATTAAAGCAGCAAACTAATACAATTTAAATAGACAAGAAAAGGAACAGACAATTAAGATAATCATTGGTAATTAGTAAGGTAAGCAAGTGTATATCTTAAATTGTTAATAATTGTAACAATTAAAACAAGAGCATAAAAAAATAGAAAAGACAAAATTGTTTACAATTAATTTTTACACCAAACAATTAAAGTTGATTCATTATTTAAAATGTTCAATGAGCAAGAGAGAGACTTTAATTTGTATTGATTACTGAAGGGTGATTAGTCTCTTATTTGTGGTAAAAGTTGATTGTTGTAAATTGTTGTTGGTAAATCAACACCAAAAACAATCACAATTAACAATTTGATTTGAGTAACAACAATACAAACCATGATAATAATAATATACACAAAAGAGACTTGGAAAAGTTTAATCAGTATCACTAATCATCTGTAACTTATTATTAAAGTTTAACCACTAATTATAATCTTAATCATGACGATGGTTAACCTTAATCACATTTTTGATTAGATTTGGGAGCACACAAAGGTGATCATAATCAACTGATTTAACTTGTGTTACAATAAATCATCAATCTACTATTGTTATTAATCAGTCATCATTGAAACAACAATTTGTTAATTGTTGTTTCTTTCATGAAAGAAAAGTAAAAAAACTTTCTATTGGGAGTTAATTAATTGTGAATAGGAAATAATTGGAAACAGAATAATCAAAAAGTACAAATCGTGAAAACAATAATATCGATATCAAAGAAGAGAGAGAAAAAAAGTTTCTCGAAACAAACGATTAATTTCCGGTAAATCACAATCAAGAAAGAAAGTGATGGTTAATCTTAAGTTAGATGATTAAGATAATCAACATAATAGATTATCTTGTATCAGATAAAACTTGGAAAAGGTGTAAAAGTAAAGGTGAAAAAAGTGATGTTCTTAATGAGGATTGACAATAAATCCGTTAGAATCCGTTAATCGTTTAAAGATAATTGGGTTACGTCTGATGGGCTGAACAATTTGAGTACGTGTTTAGCATGACAAACACAGAAAACGAATCAAATTAATCATTTGATTCTGATCATCATCAGTGCTACTGTTTGGAAACATTATTCTAGGGGCTAGAAGAGCTTAAATATAAACGACAAATGGGTGATGGTTAATATCATTTAGAAGACGGTTAATGGTCAGTATTGGGTTAACAGTAAGTTGGTCATTCAGGTCACGGGCTTGAGAACGCGAGAGAGAGAGAGAGAGAGATACATTAAGTGCTATAATAAAGTAAAGGTAAAGATACAAATGATGAACGTGATTAGCAAGAAAAGTGCATTTATTTTTGCTACAATCTCTCATGCAGACACACCCAAAGAAAACCAAGTAAAAGGATAACATTAGATTAGATTAGACCAGGTCAGACTTTTCGTAAGTATTGTCCAGTTCAAGAGAGTTAATTATTTACTAACAGTTAACATTTTCTCTTAATTGTTGCTCATCATGATAATCTCAGCATTTGTGATCATTTCTGAGATTTGCAGCAATTTCGGACATTAAAAAATAAACTCACTTTTCTGCATGAAAAACAAAGATTACAAAATCTAGGAGCGGATTAGATAAACAGGTTAACAAGGTAAATAATGACCTGAGGGCAGATGAGGATAAACAAAAGCTGTGTTTGCAACGGTCAAATTGCTCGTGTCTTGGTTATTGCCGATGCCAAGTGAAAATATTGATAAACATTTCTTTGTTTACTAAATCAATAGGATAATTTGAAACTCTAACAATTTAAATTGCTCTTTCTCATCATTCAGCTTATTAATTAATCACTTTTACTGTAAATCATTTAGGATAATCACAAGTTTCAATGTACCGATAATCAATTCATCTAATCAACCATTAGATGAGATGAACAATATACAATTTTTCTTGATAGTTGATTAAAAGTCGTTGTAGGTTTACAATTAAGTGAAACTTGCCATTAATTTTTGAGATGAAAAAAAAGTGATCACAATTAAGGAGAAAATCACAATTAACTACAGTTCAATATTATTCCATTTGAATTATAAATGAAAGGTAATCAATTAGATTTAATTACCTGGATTATCCTATTAAATGAATTTCTAGGAGGAAAAATTGGTAAATTGATCAACATTTACACAGATACTTAATATCAGGACATTTGGATTACAAGATTCGTATCATTAACTAATCCAGTTAATCAAATAGCATTAACTGCAAGGTCGCCGGTTATTTATAATTTATTACCATGAGTCTTTAGATTAAGGTGAGATTATGATAATAACAATTTAGATTGAAGCTAACGTTTAAAGATTACAATTAACTGAGTGAATTTGATTCAGTGGAAAAAGTTTCGATACTTAAGAGATAATAATTTACATACGAAGCAAAAACAAAACACCAAATCAAAGTGTACTTGTTAATTACTTGGAGGTTACCTTTTAATTATCATGGTCAAGTGTATGATTAGTTGATTGTTTCAAGTTGATTATGATCAATTTACTCAATGAGTAAGTTTAATTGGTTGGAAAAGGAAAACATCTCAAAAGTGGATTTGTAGGTAAACTGAATCAGATTTTTTTCCCTGTGAAACTTTATGGATAAATAAACGGACAAAATCATCGGTCCATGGTCAGTTTTTGTCAAGTGAAGGGCAGAGTGAGTGAGAGAGAGAGAGAGAGAGAGAGAGAGAGAGAGAGCAAATAAATGGTCAGTTTATCGGGTTAAGAGATTAACTAACTAAGGAGAAAATAAATTCAAGGTAAAAAACTGGTCTCAGGTCAGTTGTGACCAAGTGACCAGGTAATCAGGTAACTAGTTGGTTGGGAATTGTTTAATAAGTGAATTAAGTTGCCCTTAAAAAGAGGTCAACGAATCAAGGAAGCAAGAAAATTCATCTAATTGATTACAATTAGTAAAAGATTATCTTGATTATCATCAATGGATAAGGTAAACATTTCAAGTATCGACACATACATAAATCTGATTACAATTAATTGATTGTAATCAAGTTCATTGTTTAGGTGCAAATATTGAGTATTAATAGAAAGTCTGATGGTTAATTGTTAGAAGATAATCAAACTAGTATCTAATTTTTGAATACTAAATTATCAAGAATTTTTCTGGTAATCTAATTGGTTATTTATTGGAAAAAAAATCATTTAATTGTCAGAAAAGAGAGAGAGAGAGAGACTTATTCAGATTACAACAATTAAATCATAGAGGTGGTGGTGGTTCATGGGTGTGATTGATTAAGAGTACGAAGAGCGTGTTTAATTTAATTGGTCTATGGTTATTAGTTAATCGTAATTATAATGATAACGATTAATGATAATATTTGTTTTCCAATTGTTATTTTTGCTTCATCAATCAGATTGGAAACTTATTCACAGTTTCAATGATCAATAGACAATCAATAGTAAAGTTATATTGAAAGTGATGATTATGATGATACTCATGATGGTTAAGACTGAATAGTGTGTGTGTGAGAGAGAGACAGAGGAAGATAATTAGACAGCAAGATAATTAATTCATTTTTCAGTTGAATCAATTATAATTCATCTCTTAGTGTTCAAACATCATGGTGCTTGAAAATTACTGTGGTTACAATGCTTGGGTAAGTGTTTACCTTATACTTTCACTGGATCAACAACAATTAACTTTCTAATTGTTCATCTGAATCTAGGATTTGAAAAAATTATGGAACTCAGAATCACTCATATTCCCACCATGTTTGAGTGACACTGGATTACTTTGGATTGCCTCTGGTTTCCTATGGATTTCAAGTCCATTTGCTATTCATTCAGTTGTTTCAAGTTCAAGGAAAAAATTACCATGGACATTGTTGATTTTTGCTAAATTAGTTGAGTATTTTAATCTTCCAGACAATTTAAGTGATTTGATTACTAATTGTATTTCTCTTGATTAACTCACAAAACAAAAACACTAATCAATCTGGATTTTAAAGATTATTGGATTAATTTTGATTGGGTCAAGTGCTTACGAGTTAATCACTTCATTGATTCAATTGAAAAGTGACCATAACATTTACCCAACTGATTATTATTCACCATTGATTAAACTACTCACTTATGTAAGTATTATAACAATTAACTAATTCTATTTTCAATTTTTTTTCACAATTAACCATAAGATTATTGGATTGAGTTTGATTTGTGCGAGAAAAAATATTATCAATAACCTAATTAATTATTAGTGAAGATAATTAAAAAGTTATTAATCTGATATGAAATACTGCAAACAATCAAGTTAATTAATTTACCGTTAACACCAATCATGATCAATAATAACAATCAAAATAGTAACTTATTGTTAATTGAAGAGCCTGATTAATGATAATCAATGTTCATGATGATTAAACCGTAAATCCAATCAATATATATTCAAGATAAACTTTGATCATAATGTTTCACACAAATCAAAGTCAATCAATTAGTATTATGAATATTAATTGGAGGAATTTAATCAAATTTTGAATTACAATTAATTTTAATTGTCTTTAGGTTCTTGCAATTAGTTTATTGCTCCTTTACCGGCGTAAAGGAGCTCATACATCAGGATTATTGTTCCTATTTTGGCTTCTCATGACAATCTATTCATCAATTAATTACTCATCAGTAATTAGCTCATTAAAAGATCCGGTAAGGATTAGAAACTGTTTTGGTATATTCAAAGAGAGACAATTAACTTAACAATCAATTTAAATTTGTGACAGTTACAACATAGTTGGTCATTTGATAGAAGTGACATTTTTATCAAATCGATACAAACTTCCGGGTCAATCTGTTTACTATTCTTGTATTGCTTTGCAGATATAAGAAGGGAAAAATTCACAGAGGATTGTCAGGTAATCCATCATTATATTGGATTAAAAGATTAACTAATCATCATCATCATAATCATTTTCTCAGAATGAATGTCCATATGCAAGTTCATCGTTTATTAGCCGATTACTTTTCTTTTGGTACGATTCAATGGCCTACAAGGGCTTCCGTAAATCATTAACACAATCAGATATGTGGAATCTAATGAATGTAAACAAAACTACAACAATTAAACAATATTTTGATCCTCATCTTAAATCATCAATGGGATCAGTTAATAGTTCAGGTGATACTCCATCAACATCATCACAATCATCTCGATCAATTGAAATTAGTATTCTTGGTGTTCTAATTAAAGCCTTTTGGCCCATGTTACTTTTTTGTGCTTTTTGTAAACTAATTTCAAGTTTACTTGTTTTCGCAAGTCCACAATTAATGGACGCACTATTGACCTTCATCATCTCCGATCAACCGGTCTGGAAAGGTTACATTATCGCTCTGGGAATGTTTTCCGCTGCACTCTTACAATCGATTCTTGATTCACAATATGAATTCTGGATAAACACAACATCAATGAGAATGAGATCAGCGTTGATTGCGACAATTTATCGAAAGGTAAGATTGAACCTATTTCCTGGTTCTAGCTATCATCTAATAAACTTTTACTTTGCATTGGAAAAACAGAGTTTACGATTATCTAGTTTAGGTCGACGGGATTTTACCACCGGTGAAATCGTTAATTTGATGGCCGTTGATACCCAACGTGTCGTTGATTATGTTAATATTGTCAACATTATTTGGTCATCGCCGATTCAATTGGCTTTGACTATTTATCTTTTATGGCAACAAATCGGAGTCTCATCGATCGCTGGATTAGCGATTATGATTGTTCTAGTACCTTTCAATGGATTTGTCACCACGAGATTTAAGAATTGCCAGATTAGATTGATGAAGGAGAAAGATGCTCGCTCGAAATTGGTCTCTGAAATTCTGAGCGGCATGAAAGTGCTCAAATTATATGCATGGGAAGGCGCTTTCGGTGATATTGTCGCTTCAATCCGAAAGAATGAAATTGATGCGCTAAAATCTCAAGCGATTTGGACAGCGGGGATCACATTTGCTTTCGCATGTGCACCTTTCTTGGTAAAGTTAATTTCTAAATAGTGCTAATAGTTTGTCTCTAATATTGTTATTAGCTATTAATTTGACTATCAAACTTAATTTTCTCAGATAACGGTCACTAGTTTTGCTTGTTATGTTCTGATTGACCGAAGTCACATTCTCGACGCTAACAAAGCTTTTGTTTCAATCTCATTGATCAATATTCTTGGTGGACCTTTGGCGTTTTTACCGATCGTTGTAACTTATGGAGCAAATGTAAGTAGAAATTATTTATTTTCTCTTGAAGTTTTACATCTATTGAAATGAGATTATGTGGTATATGTGTTGACCGATGGCTACTTTTTGTTTTCTATCAAGTTTTTCATTTCAATTCGTCGTTTAAACAAATATCTTTCTGGTGATGAACTTGACACTGAGGCAATACTTCATGAACACGATCCGGCAACACCGATAACTGTACGAAATGCTACATTTTCATGGTCACCGGAAGAGGAACCAACACTGAAAAATGTTGACATGGAAGTGAATAAACAAAAGCTGGTCGCTATCGTGGGAACTGTTGGCTCAGGAAAATCGTCAATGCTATCAGCACTTTTAGGCGATTTGTACAAGAAACAAGGTTATGTTAATGTTTACGGAAAAATCGCCTATGTACCTCAATCAGCGTGGATACAAAATGCTACCGTTCGTAATAATATCGTATTTGGTGCACCATTTGTAAAAGATAAGTATGATAAAGTGATCGACGCTTGTGCTTTGGTTCCCGATCTTCAGATACTCACGGGCGGTGATGCAACTGAAATCGGTGAGAAAGGAATCAACGTTTCAGGAGGTCAAAAACAACGAATCAGTATCGCAAGAGCAGTTTACTCAAATTCGGACATTTATCTACTCGACGATCCTTTATCAGCGGTCGATGCTCATGTAGCTAAACACTTATTCGATAAAGTTATTGGACCTAAAGGATTACTGAAAAATAAAACTCGAATCTTGGTAACACATCGGATAACCTTTTTACCTCAAGTAGATAAAATAATCGTCATGAAGGATGGAAAAATTTACGAGTCTGGAACTTATGCTGAACTGATGGCGAAAAAGGGAGAATTCAATAACTTTATAGTCCAATATTTAGCTGAACAAAAAGATGAATTAGAACCCGAAGATCAGGAATTAATTCAAGCTCTTGGTCCAGAGATTGAGAAGAAATTGTCAATTGCTCGATCAGAATCAAGCCGATCAGATGAAGGTTCAGTTCGACGGAGAAAAGGAGACAATCGAAAGACATCAACACTCATCTCTGGTGGGGGTAAACCTGATGGAGGTCAAGAAGGTCAAGAAGATAAATTTAAACTCGTTGAAACAGAAACAGCCGAAACTGGTTCAGTTAAATTGAAAATTTATCTCAACTATTTTGCCGCAATCGGTGTGACCGCTTGTATTGCGACCTGTATACTTTTAAGTGCCTCAAGTGGCTTTAATTTAGGTACTAATCTTTGGTTGAGCGCTTGGTCAGATGATTCATTGGATTTCAAGACTTATAATGACAGTTCACTTCGTAATAAGCGACTCGGTGTTTATGCAGCTTTGGGTATTTGCGAATCAATTTTCAATTTGCTTAGTACAATTGTCATGAACCTCGCGATTGTTAATGGTGCCCGTTGGATTCACGAGAAAATGTTAACCCGACTTATTCGAGCTCCAATGTCCTTCTATGATACAACACCTTTAGGTCGGATTCTTAATCGTTTCACTAAAGATATTGACACAGCCGATACAACAATTAGTTTCAATTTGCGTCTTCTTACATCTCAATTTTTCCGTGCGATCGTGTCCATTGTGGTCATTTGTCTAGAGACAACATATCTAATCATTGTCATCGTGGTTCTTGGTATTGTTTACGTTCTTGTCCAGGTAAATATATTTTGTTTACATTTTCGTCGAATCATAAATATACCATCGAGTTTCTGTTCGCAAAATGGATAATCGTGTTTTCTTATTGTCTTAAATCATTAGAAATTCTATATTGCCAGTAGTCGACAGTTGAGACGAATTGAAGCTGTTAGCCGTTCACCGATCTATTCACATTTCTCTGAGACTGTTAATGGATCAACCTCAATTCGAGCTTATGGGGCAGCCGAAAGGTTCACGAACGATATGTACCAACGAGTTGATATTAACCATAGTTCATTTTTCCCAAATCTTGGTGCTAATCGTTGGTTAGCAGTTCGACTTGAATTATTGGGTAATATTATTGTCACCATTACTGCCGTTTTTGCCGTTGTCACAACAGGAGGTTCAAGTCCAGGTACAACTGGTTTATCGATCAGTTATGCATTACAAATAACGGCCATTTTGAACATGTTGGTTCGAGCTGTTTCTGATGTTGAAACAAACATTGTCTCCGTTGAAAGATGCTTGGAATATACTAGAGTACCAGTTGAGGTTAGTACTTTTGCCGTTTCATATGCCAACCATTTCACTTAGATAAGTATATTAACATTTCGAGAAATTTTTCCCTTTCCAACGTTAGGCTCCATGGATAATACCATCACATCGACCCAAAGAAAATTGGCCTAAAAAAGGTCAAATAGCATTTAAAAGCTATTCGACTCGATATCGACCTGGTCTTGATTTAGTTTTAAAAGATATTGTTTGTACCATTAATCCAAATGAAAAGGTAGGAATCGTTGGCAGAACTGGAGCAGGTAAATCGTCGTTAACATTGGCCCTTTTCCGTTTAATCGAACCATCGAGTGGAACCATTACCATTGACGAAGAGGATATAACTCAATTGGGTTTACATGATCTTCGCTCTCGATTAACAGTAATACCTCAAGATCCAGTTCTATTTTCGGGTTCTTTCAGACGAAACTTTGATCCATTCGATATGTACACCGACCGTGAGATATGGCGAGCCCTCGAACAGGCTAATCTTAAAAGTTTTGTTGACACTTTAGAATCAGGTTTAGAACATGAAATATCCGAAGGAGGTGAAAATCTCTCGGTTGGTCAACGACAATTGGTCTGTTTAGTTCGAGCATTATTACGAAAGACAAAAGTTCTAATTTTAGATGAGGCAACTGCCGCTGTTGACGTTGAAACCGATGAACTGATTCAAGCAACAATTCGAAGAGAATTTAAAAATTGTACAATTGTAACGATCGCTCATCGATTGAACACAATCATGGATTACGATAAAATCATAGTAATGGACAAAGGTCAGATAATCGAATACGATTCACCAAAAAATCTTCTCGAAAATGATAAATCAGTATTCTATTCAATGGCAAAAGACGCCAAACTTGTTTAATCTATCACAATTAAATCAATACTCGACAATAATCAACAATTAATCACTACCATTAGTATATAATTAACTTAATTAATTAAAAGTGAAAAGAGACAAAAACATTAAAAAAAAAAGAATTTCTAAAAAGTTATTTTTGTTTATTGAACTTCGAACAATAAAAACAACATAATATAAACGAGATCTAAACACCAATTTACTGATTATCTCCTTATGGATCATTAAGATAGTTGTAAAACATTGTTTGCTAATTGCAATTAAATTGGATTCGGTGTAAGGATATTACAGAAAAAGAGAAATCTCAACATTTTCAACTTTTCTTTTTCCATGGAAGACAAAGGGAAATAATTCTAAGAAGATTTACTCTCTCTCTCTCTCTCTCTCTCTCTCTCTTTCTCTTTCTCTCTCTCTCTCTCATCTCAACTCAACTCACCTTCAAAATGACCTCAAGTTAGAACTTAGAAAATAGTATTTATCGAGCAACTTAAAGTTTCTAATCTTTGGGTATATTTGCTCAAGAATATATATCATATTCCCTATGGATCTTTACCAATATATCTATTTACTCTCGATAATTATCATCATATTATCATTATGTTTCTCTTTCTCTTTCTCTCATCTATTTATCTTCATAGTCTCTGTATGAAACTTTAAGAAGGAAGATAAATATGATTCTCTTTCAAAAAACAATCAGGTTACTTTGAAAATGGTAATTAAATTGTAAGTGGTCAGTAAGCGAGAGAGAGAGTGAAAGAGATAATTATATTTACCAACGTAATCAAATGGAAGAAGAAGAAGAAAAGATTCAAATCAATTGTTGAATTTATGATGATCATGTAGAAAGTACAATTGATTTAATCGCAATAAATTTTCTTCATCATCATCTCAACCAAGAAAAGATTAGCTCATCATGTGGCCTCATCATTTATGTTCATTTTAATTTACCTGTTCAGGTGATCATCTATCGTTTATCCAAGTAGATATATTATCTCAGTAACTATGAGGTGATATGTGTTTGTTGTTAGTGAGTTTTGATTACCCCTCACCTCCTCCTCCTCCTCTCACTTAATAATCTTGAAAACAATATGATCAAGATTGATATTTAGAATGTTTTTCTTTCTTTGAAAAAATACACTCATCATTTGATATCAGTTACAAACAATTATATCTCATACTCTCAACATCTCATCAACTTCATCTCCATTTTTACTCTCATCTTAATCTCTCTCTCATCAACCCAAACCCAAACAAGAGATCAACAGAAATCTAGTTATAAAGGTGTATCGGTAACAATAGTAAGTGTATGTAAAAAAACGAGACAGCTGATGAGAAATAAGCTGACTTACTGAGGATTAATAGTCTCCCCTTGTTACTGATGAGGATGCTGATGATAGAATGAGAGAAAAAAGCTGAACAGTTACAACAAGGGACAAATTGACAAGCCCAAAGGCTGTTGAGAGATGGAAACAAGAAGATGAAGATATCTGGTATATGGAAAAACATTCAAAGTACTGACGATGAAGATGATGATTGTCATCATCGAGATGAAGAAAAGATGTTCTCATAAAAATGTTGAGATGAATTTCGCAAAAAGGAAGAAGATGCGAAAAAGGAACAAAATTATCATCATATTTACTCATCTCGTATTATTTTTCATCTCTCCATCTCTCTCTCTCTCTCTCTCTCTCTCTATCCTCCCATCCTCATCTTAATCAACATCTTATTATCTTCTAGCGCAACAAAAAACCTCATCTTTCACAAGATATTATTTGGAGCGTAGTAACAATATTGAGAGAGAGAGAGAGAGAGAGAGAGAGAGAGAGAAATAGACACACAAGGGCATATCCCGTCAGTAGACTTTGCCCTCACTCTCTTTCTCTCTCCTCCCTTTCCTCTTCTCATTCAAAGAGACTCACTCTCTCTTCATACAGAAAAAATGACCTTTTGCCTCCGTGTGGGTCATTTTAAATGTTAATGGCTATTGAATGAATATTTAAGAAATAGAAAATATCAAATTACTAAGCGTAACATGGATAATACAATATAATATATATCGTACAAACAATCACAGTAAGAGATTGACAATCTAAAAGCTAAGTTGATTAGTAGTAAAAACCGTTATTCGTATTTCTGGTTGATTATGACTGTTGATTACTGTTTAGAACTCAATTAACATCATGTATTAGTTTAAAAGGCTTTTGGTCAACAAATAGCTCAGGAGAAAAGTTTGATATTCAATTTGAAAGAGAGCTAAAAATATATTCATTATACAATTTTCTTCTTAATTTCTTCAATATATATCATCATGTATTCAGTTACAAATCTAAAGAGAAAGTTACAAAAGTTATGATCATGATGATGAAGATAAAATTGTGAATGGTGATAATTATAATGAACCATCAGAGATGAAGAAAATAAAAGTGATAAAGGTTAGGATATTAATCGTGTATTGAAAACTATCAACAGAAAAGAATCATTTTCATTTTCATCTTAATCGTGCAAATGATTCCGGAAATTAACAATCAACAGGTAACTCACACATAAGGATACACACCGATGGTGGTAATCAGTTAATTGAGACAATTCAACTTTTCTGTTGAACATTAATAATGTTAAACATTAAAAAGGTAACTCTTTTAGAGAGCTTCTCATTTTTATATAATATAATTAATATTAAAGAAAAATTATCTTTAATAAAACTCTGGTAATCATCAAGTATCAACATAAATATATAATATAATATATTTGATGGAAAATGATTGACAGGTAATGAGAGATGAGAGAAGAAAAAATTTAAAAGTAAAACCTGATTCAAGAAAAACTAACTGAACATCAGGTAAACAGTTTTCGCTTTAAACTATTGGAAACTCAGGTAAACACGCTTATCATTGGATAAGTGTGGTAACCGTTTTATCAACAATTTAACAGGTAAACTAATTGTCAGATAATCATCAGCATTGAGATTTGTATATTTATATCGAGCGGGAGAATAGGCCAATATCATTAATTATCGATAATTATTATTAACAAAACAAAAAGAGCGCAAGAGTTTTTTTTTCTCATTCAAATGGTTGAAAATTTTGATTGTGACTTTTTAAATTTGATTTAATTTTTTTTCTTATGGGATTTGTTATGTTTTATTTACTATAAATTGTTCAGGTAAATTGAGGTAAATTTTAGCTAAGCCCTTGAGCTGTGTTAGTTTGATTAACTTAATCGTAGGTTGATCAGAATCATCATCATGTTTCAAGTTACCGCGAATATAAAAATGCCATAAAAAGTCAAAAGCTAATCAACATACACTCACACAAATTAATTTGATAAAGAATCAAGTTAATTTAAATGAGAATCATTAATTTAGAGAGAGAGAGAGAATTAAAAAGACACCGGAAAAAAGGTAAACAATTAAAGGAAGAAATCATTTGATTGTTGTATTACTGGTGGGATTCAATTGAGTTAATGGTTGAGTTGAAGAGGGAAAAATTTTCATGACGAAAATGACCAATGGTCAGTTTTGTTGTTGGCTAATTGTAATTATATGTGAGACTATTAAGTTAATTGTTCTTACCTTGCACCGATTATAAGATGACTTTGAGATGGTTCAACTAGTATTTGTGCATAATGTGAGATGTCCGGTGATGAGAAAATGTCCATTTGTTGACCATTGGAGGAATAAATTATTTGGCAGATTAGGAGACAATTAATAGTTAATTTTAAATCCAACACAAAAGGTAATCCAAACATTTTGGTCAATATAAATTGTTGGTTGTCCTTTGATATCTCAAGATGATGATTTTTTTTCAATTTGATTATTGTACTACTAATCCAACACAAAGATGGAAAATTTAAAATTAAACTGAGATCACAGTTAGAAATACAATTGAAAGTCAAATTGTTGTTAAACGGTTTTAATTCAAATTAAAACATGTGAAACTTAAATGGTGAACAGGTAACAAGAGACAAGAATTCATGTTTACCTTGCAAGTGAAATTCAATAAGTGAGGGAAAATTAAGCCATTTGAAAATCGAAAGAAAATCAAAAAATTTTTGTTCTTTTTGTGGCTCCATCTAGTGTCGGTTTTAGTCGAACGGGTGATTTGGTCTAACTTTTTTCTCTCCAAATTTTGAGCCTTTCAATTTACTATTCTCTCTCTTAATCAATCTATTGGCTCTCCATTTCCCTTGATTGTTCCCAATCTATTTGATTGTGGACATTTTCTTCATTTTGACAAATCAATACTATTTGTTTATCTACAACGGAAAAGATTCTTTGATGGTTAATTGTGATAATCAATTTAGTTGTAATCAAATAATCGGTTTTGTTTTCTTCTTCTTCTTACTTTTTAATTGTTTTAATGATAAAATGATAAATTAGATTTGATTAAGACACGATTTTTTTACGACTCATTTATCTCATTTTGTTGATTGTAAACCAGTAAATCTGATTGTCTAAATTGTATGTTACGATTGAGAGTTAATTTTTTCTTCTTCTTCTCATTTCTAATAAGTGTTTTTTACTTGAATCATTTAAATTAATTTTACCCTAAAGCAATGACAATCATCTTCATCCGCCTAATCATGATTAACCGAAAGCTAATAATTGATTAACTTTAATGATAAACTAAATCGTCTTCCTTAATTGTTTCACTTTTCACTTTTTAACATTATCTTTTTTTCTTGTAATCACAATTAAAAGTGATTTACCAGAATTACTATTATCCTTACATTGTTTGCTCTTTATAATCTTACAATTTAATATCTTGATTTAAATTTTTACTACTCAATTAATCATCATCATTTTTATCTACTAAATGATTACCAGATAATTAAGATGATCCTTTACAACTAAATCAGTTTTCTAATTGTTTTCAAGTTAATCATTTATGAGCCACGATTGTTTTAATTTTCTGATCAATCACGATTATCAACATAATCAAGTAATTGATTCTGTTATTCAAAAAGCTAAATCTTGATAAGTTAATTGTTGAGTAAATCATATTCATAATCAAAAGTCAAACGTTATCATCAAATGACCTAAATTGTCCAATTTCATTAAGCTGATTCCCCAATGAATTTTGTAACAATTTAAACAAACAATCAGTAAACAACAATTAGAAGCATAAAAAATTAGTCTCAAGGTAAAAAAAAAGATTAGTCAAGAAATAGTTTTACAATTAATGATAATGAAAAAAAAATGATACAATTTATTAATCGTAATTAGATAAAATCAATTTCTTTTTGTTTTGTTGATTGCAAATTAGTTAATTATTGTTGATTGTTGGAGGAAATTTAAATTCCTCTTCCAATTTCAACGTAATCATAGGAGATGAAATTGTTAAAGTAAATTACTTTTCCATCACTGATAAAGTCTTTAATTACTCCATCAAGTGATTGATTAGTTCCTAAAATTTTACTCCATTCAGATGAACCAGGAACTCCGCCCAAATAAAGGCCACTTTCACTCGCAGCCGAATTGCCGATATTCCGTCCAGGTCCAAGTTTACCATTTATCACTTCGAAATCATCAACAGTTATCCAAACTCTAAAATGAAAAGAAAAGACAACAAATTAGACAACAATTGAAGTCGAAAAAAAGTTCGAAACTTGAAAAAAGTTCTAACCTTCGATTCCTTTTAGTTATCGTCACAGTGTGAAACTGTCCATCAGTAACATTCACCCTAGAGATTAATAAAGTCTCTTCAGTTCCAGGATTAAATCGTGATTCCAACGATCCTCCATTTATTGCCAATGAATAATATTGCTGAAGAAAAGTGGAAATGATAAACAAATTGAACAATTAACAATTCGATCGAAAGAAAAAGTTTCATCAACAACAATCGATACTTACAAACTCTCTATTAGTTTTCTTGGGATTCTTGAAGATAACAATTAATATGATCGCATCTTTTTGCTTAGTTTTAAACGTTAAACTAATCACGTTGTTATCCCGTAAAGGTAATCCCTTCAATTCAAGATAACCCTTTCCGTTGAATCTTGAACTTCGAGGTAGATCATTTTTACATCCCGTTGACAGGCCAAAGGTTTCGCCGTCTAAAAGGTTCAACGGTGTTGTGTCAATTTGAACATCTTTCATGCACCCAAGGAATGGTTTAAAATCAATATTAGGCCACCAGTGGGTGGTGAAGTTGGGTGGGATTCCGCCGAAGTGTATCTTACAACCACCGAGATCTGAACTGTAAGTTTCCACTTCACCTTCGATCGTTTCCTCGTCAACAACCAGCATCGCTCTCGATTCCGATCGAGCCGCTGTTACCCTGAACCAATTTCCGTTATTATATTTATCTGAGGTGATTAATTTTAACCATGTTTCAGGTCCATCACGGAATGAGAAGGAGATTCGTCCGTTAATCAAATGGATCGCAATGTAATTTCCCGTCTCCGTATCGGAGCAGAAAAATATGACCGCCGATTCATCGAAAGTTTTCATCAATAGAACAACCTGGTAATTTCGATTATCATAACGAGGAATTTGATCTAAAACCGAGTAAGATGATTTACCATTGAAATGGAAAACATTATAATCACTTGATTCAAGGTGACCTTTGGTCCAAGCTCTACAGCCGATTGGCGATGAGTAATTAAAGTTCCAAAGGCCGATATGTTTATCGTCGTAAACTAAATCAGCTATAAAACCTTTAAATCCGTTGGTCGTTAATTCATCAGGTAAATTGTGTCCATTCAACTCGGAATGACCACCAACCCACAAAGGTTAGAAGACGATACATCAAGTATCGAATAATTTGCCGATGAAACTGATTTAACTGGATTAACAGAATTTACATGATTATCGACCATTCGTTGTACACTAAGTGTTCCAACGGTTGCGACTCGTTGAGCTTCAACTCGATACCAAAAAGTTTCTTCTAAATTCTTAGGACTGGTTTCGATTCTTGTTGGATGTTCAATTATCGTTGTTCCATTGGTTCCAAGTGACCAAAGGAATCTTATTGTCCGGTCAATCATATCAATGGCTAAGAAATCGCCATCGTCAGGATTAACTATTGATAAAATTAGAACATCTTTAACATTTTCCTGGTCAATTGCGAAATAAAATGAGATTGAATTGGCTGATGAGGGTTGAGTCTCGATTGAATAAGATCGGACACAGAAAGTATCGGGTTCAGATGCTAAGGCCACTCCAATTTCGGCCGCTTTTTGTCGAGCCAAAGTAATACGCTTTCGTAGATCAGATAAATTTGCTTCAATCGTTTGCCGTTGGTAACTAGCAGTTGAGGCCAAAATGGTGACCTTTTCAATCTCACCGAAAATTGATCCAACTAAACTCGTCGATTTATTTACATAACTAGATGCTAGTGACTTTTCGGCCATCCATTTCTGAGAAATAACTTCTACCTGTGGCCCATCAATGATTACCAGTGATTCATTAATTTCGGCTACTCTGCTTTCGATACTTTTAAGTCCAATGTCTAAAATGTATGAAAATTGAATTGTATCTTTAGAATCTTTGATTCTTGGCTCAAGACTTCGAGTGAAATTGTTCAATTCGTTAGAAATGGCCTCATGAGATGAGAAACAAGACTCGTAAAGTCGAACCTCTTCCTTGAAACGTTCAATAATTGCAATTTGTGGTGACCGGTCACTGATTGTCGACGATTGAATGACAATTTCCCGAAGCAATTGATCACTGGTCCCTCTTGATTCAGTTGCTCTGTTTCCAATTCCTTGATTAACAACATCGTCAATCACTTGATTTAAAAGTGTGTTAATTGCTGTTTCCCCATGGATCTCTGCCCGTTCAATTGAAACAATCGTCTCGTTGTTAGTCCAAGGGATATTTATGTAAGGCTTTAGGAGATTTATCCTTTTATCATGTTCATCTAAAGCTTCATTGATTCTTCCTATTTCCTGGTTTACTCTCTCACGACAAGGATTCACATAAATGTCCTCATAAAATGGATTAAGTCGTGAATATATTGAACGAACTCTTTCAATCGCAGCCACCGACCGATTAAGATCATTTTTCATGGCCTCTAAATCCGCTGTGACTCTGGTGATCATCGATAGATAGACGGAAGAACCTTCAATATGGCCGAAACCTTCACGAATCGATCTACTATAATCATCTACTAATTTCTGATTATTTGTACTGTTCACAATTAGGGATTCGATTATTGAACTGATTCTTTTCCTCTGTTGATCAGCCATGTAAACTTTCTGGGGAATTTGCTGGTTAATTAAGTCTTCGAACTGGTTACAAGTAGTTTTGATTTGTTCTAATCGAGTTACAAGCGAAATTTGCTCTCGAAAAGTTGATAGAAAAGCTTCAACTTTTCCCATAAAAACGACACTTTGCTCTCGTTCAACTGTCACATCGACCAATTTCGAGGTTAGATCAATGTTCATCATCGATTCGAGCCAAGCACTTGACTTTTGTAACATTTCAGCCCAAATGTTTGGCTCTGATTCGATAATTGTTTCCCTTGAAAACGACTCAATATTATCAATTGTTTCAGCAATTGTTTTCTTAAGTGAAACAATTTCATCTAATTGGTTCGTTGACAAACTCATAATATCTGAAAGAGAGTTAATCATGTTAATTGCTGTTGTCTCCGAGATGTTTAATCGTCTATTAAAAGAGTCCATGGTTAAACTGTCTTCCAGTTGATTCGTTAGACTGTCAACCAGAGTTAATCCTTCATTATTGAGATTAGTTGTTCGTCTCAATGATTCCCGAATATTGGCCTCCTTTCGTATCAATGAGGCCAAAGCGTATGGAAAATGAAATATATCGTCAATGTTAATCTCACTGAGATTGGTTTCCATATACCAAATAACGGGTATATGAAGACCAGCGCAAGAGTATTGACACTTTTCAAAGGTCGCAATGAATGGTGTTGTTGATGGTGGTGGAGGTGGTTGAGTTGTTGTTGGTAATTCAGTGGTGGTCGGATATTCATAAGGCCAACATGGAACTGGCGGTGGATAAGTTGTCAATGGAGTCGGAGGGGAAGGAGGTTCAGACCATGAGGGTAACGTAGTTAATTCAAATTCTGGCCAATATGTGAAAGGATATGTTGTGATCGGTTCATTTGGAATCCATGGTGGATCAGTCAAAGGTTTTGATGTGGTTCTAATTATTTCAGGTCTTAATGATGATGATGATGTTGGAATTGCCGTTGTAACATATTCAATAGGAACACAAAAACCTCCTGGAATTGTGGGATTCCCGGTAAATCCTTCAATACACTGATCACATTTGGGACCTTTAGTATTATGTAAACATGAAATACACTCTCCTGTGTAAGGGTCACAGGTCAGTGAATGATTGTTACAATCACATTTCTCACAGATCCCACCAATTAAGGTGTTATTCACCCTTCGATAACCCGGTAAACAGCCTGGACCACAAAAGGGTTTCTCGTAGCCTTCAGGGCAATCACATTCTTGGGTCATCTTGTCAAGATTAGACTCCGATCCTCCCTTGTTCGAGGCCACCAGAACGTCAACATTATAAAACGAACCTTCAATCTGATCAGTATGATAATAGGCTCGAATTAATAATCGATTTAAACTACTTAGAACCATAATAAACTCTTCACGGTTAACTGGACCTTGGTTCGAACCATTCTCATCGATGTGGAACCAATTTCTTTCCGACATGACGATCTTACGATTAATTTTGGTCCTTTCAGGTTTCTCGAACGGAACTGACTTCCAATTATAACCGATCAACAATCGGTTTCCACTTAAATCACTTCCCTCTAAAACGATATCAGGCCCATAAACGGGATTTCCCGCTGAATCACCTCTAAGTACCGTCGCTGATAGTGAAATTTTAGCCTGCCTTCCATAGGCTCGGTACATGTCACCAAGATAGTCCGAAGGTGCTGACCAGTAGTATATTGGTGCTGATGGTGCATCATCATCAGCGATTACTAGATGGTCGTCATTTTGTTGAGGTTCAACAATCTGATCATCACGTAAAGTTGTGATCAACCAATTATCCGGATTAGTGATTATCATTGAAGGCCAATAGGTAATACGACAAGAATTGGTCACATTGTAACAGAAACATTTTGTACATCCTTCCGGATTATCTTGGTCAAGATTAACGTAACCATGTTTACATTGGTCACAGAATTGACCAGTTACTCCTGATTTACATTCACAAGGTTCATCACAATTTTCTGGGTCAATAATGCCCGATCGATTACAGGGACAGTTCCGACATAAAGTATAATTTGGATCATTTGGTGAACAGTCAACTGAATTAGATTCAATTGTTTCGGATGTTGATGGTAATTGATGAGCAATTTTAGCAGAAACAGTTATAATGATTGAAGATGAAAACAAAATATATACAATTAGAGTGACCATTGTGAATAGTTTATTAAATAAAGAGCTTGAAATCCTATGGGATGACCTTGTAGTGGACAGTCCATTGGATTGATATTTGTTGGATTTTAAGGTTGACATTAGACTATGTGAGTTGATTATCCAATTTACCGGGTTGATTAAATTCATCTTTTTGTTTCGCTTGACTTTAGTTCTGGTTAACAGTTAAGGTGAACATGATGAAGATAGTAAATCACCACACTGATTAATAATAACGACGATGAAGATATTGATAACATGATATTATGAGATCGATAATGATGTCGATCTATTGATGAACGAACATAATTTTTGATCTGATGATCATTTTACTTGTTGATGTTTTTTGGGTTCTATCAGTTGGACCAGTTCCATATACTACCTATGGAGGTAAAGTGACCTGAAGAGAGAGAGAGAGAGAGAAAGGAAAACAAGAAGATGAAAATAAGAGAATAAAATTTGTGACCTGAGGCGACGATAATTTTTGTTGAAATGTTTTGAGTGTTTGAAGCAAAGTGTTTTTAGAAAAGAGAGACAGAGAAATGAATGAAAATGCCGAAAGTAATAGAAACGAAGAGAAGAAAAAAAGGAGCGAAAAGAAGAGGAAGAAAAGAGAAGACGAAGAAAAAGTGAGTGAGCGAGAGAGGAAGAAGGAGGAAGATGAAGATGAAGTGGAAGAGGTAGAAAAGAGGAAGAGGAAAAAAACATCAATGGTCATTAGAATAGTTTTTGGTAAAAAGAATAGAAAAAAAAATGAGAAGAAAAAAAAATAAGGTAAATGTTATGTTTTCATCTATTTGTTGATTGTGAATACGAGTGAATGAGAGATTGGAGTGTGTGAGTACTTCGAATTGCTTAATTTTAAGGTCATTGATTGGAAAGATAAATACTTTCGATTTATTATCGAGAGAATCTTTTTTAAGTAAAAAGCTCATAATATAAACTTTGGAAAAAGACTCGAGAGAATTGACATCAATCAATAGTAGCCGATAGCATCTGGGTGTTTACTTATCTGTTGATCTTAAAACAGCAAGAAGAGGATGATGATAGTGATGAAGATGAGGATGAGGATGAAGATGATGTAGAGGAAAAAGTTTAAATAGAAAGAAAATAGAGAGAAAATTGCTCGAATTGAAGAGATCGGTCCCAACTAAATGTAAACACTGGCACTGATATTATTTTACTCTGTAATGGCCAATGAGTAGTTCCGAAGTCATGTCGATAAATTATTACGAAGATGAGAGAGAGAGAGAGAACGAGTGAGGGAGCGTGAGAGTAATAATAACGATGATAATAAAGATGAGAAAAGGGAGTAATGAAGAGATCCATTGATTAGCGTCATAAGGAAGGTCAATGATTTAGATGTAAGAGAGATGCTAATTGAATAGAGACAAGACAAAGAAGATGATAAAATAATGACGACGATGATGATGATGAGAGAGAGAGAGAGAGAGAGAGAGAGAGAGAGAGAGAGAGAGAGAGAGAGAGAGAGAGAGAGAGAGATGATAATTTCTGATGATGAAAATGTTTCAAAAATGTTACTCATTATTACAGTTATTTAGTTTCCATAGACATTGAATGTTGTAGCTAAATGATGAGATTGTTTATTTTATCAAATTAAACTGTGTTGAGTGATTAACCATCAACATCTATTGATTTAATTACGTTAACCTTATAAGGGAAGAGCTGATTAACTTTGATAATATGTAATATAAATATTATTAATTAAACTAAATTAGAGGTTGGAGTCTGTTTCAAAATCAAAATCACTTTTTGCTTGTTAAAAATTGGGATTACAAGATGATGAAGGATGATGAGGAATGAAAATGATTTAATTGAAAGCAATTAAAAAATTTTGAGTAACCAGAGATGATAATCTTAATGTTAACATGATAATCGTGAAGAGAAGTAGAAAAAAAATTAAACTAAATTAACCTAATTGATGAAAAAGAAACAAAAAACAACAACAACAATTTATCCGAAAGATTTGAAGGGAAACACAAAAAAGATAAACAAATTGATTTGGTTTAGGATAACAAGAAATCCCTATGGTAATAATGATTACCAACAATTAAATGTTCAAATTGTTGGATCAAAGTGAATCTAAAGGTTCTCGTGGTCATAAAAAGTTAGACTTAGAGAGTTAATTGTTGTAATAGTTAATAGTTTGACGAGTGCCGACTTAAATTGTAATCTATTTATATTATTATGCGAGTTCACATAGTAAATAGTTTACAACTCAGTCGGAGGTTAATGTTACTTTCTTGCTTTACCTTTACCTGAGATGAGAAAATAACAATTATAATTATGTTATTTTCAAGAACCATGGAGAAGGAAAAATTAACTTATCGGTATAAAGGTAAAAGGGCAAAAACAATGGACTCCTACACTAAAAAGGATCTACAGGTATTGAGAATTTTTCTTCTTTCATCTTTTTCATAACAATAATGACCATTAAGTAGCCAACGAAAAGGTATAATTCAAAGGTAACTCAATGGCCAATTTCTTACCTGTAAATGTGCACTCAAAATCTAAGGTGTGTTTGTACAAAGAGCTCTGAACATTTCATTAGAAATTTTTTTCTTTCTTCTCTTTCATTTTTCAATGGTCAGTTTACTTTTATGGCCATTGAGGGTGGAGAGAGAGAGAGAGAGAGAGAGAGAGAGAGAGAGAGAGAGAGAGAGAGATTACCTGTATGTTTAATTGTAGAAAGTTATGATTTATCGGATAGTTTTAATTTTGATCGAAAGATGATTTTTAATCTTGTATTCCTAATTCAATTTGATCTTTAATCCCGTTAATCTAATGGTCATTTCATTTGTTATTGTATCTTTGTGATACTTATTGGGATAAGTACTGTTATTGATTATCTTGATTGTTTATTGATTTGTTTTTGTCTAAATCAATGTTATTTATTTATAAACTTTAAGTTAACTGTCAAGATAATTGGTGAAAAGTTAATCATATTCATTAGTTTCATCTTATACATTTAGATAACAACAATACTGTCAATGTGATTTAATTTGATTGTTGTCTCGTTTTCTATCATCTAGTTAATTGATATTTTCTAAGTCTTGAAATTTTCAAACTAATGATTGACATGAGATTATTGTTACTGTTGTTGTTTTACTTTAATTCATTAACTTATTTAACTGTCAAACAATCAACAATATTATTAAATTGTTACCAGAGGAGGTACATTGATGTACATTTAAGATAATGATTAATATCTTGATACTAATACACTAATTATTAGTTAGATGTCAATGTTAATGGTTACGGTTATAGTTGATTACAATCGCTAATGATTCAACTTAAATTGTGGGTAAATTTTTCTCATGTAATTGGTTAACTATGGATTTAGTTGATTGTTTGAAGAGTTAAATATGGCGCACCGGAAATTCAATTTTCTTTCATTGTATTAATCATTTTTACTTGTTACAACAGGAAATTCAGTTATTTACAATCAATGGGTAATTAATTGATTACTAATGAAAACTTACCTTCGTTAATTGATCAGTAATTTGAAAAATCTCCAACCAGTTAAACAAAATATTTGCAGAAAAATTTATTATCCAAATTTGAGTCGTCACAATTTAAATGAAGAAAACAAAGTTAATCGAAAATTTTAAATGTTAATCAACTCATGAAATTATTTTGATTAAACCAGAAAAATTAAATTAAAAGAAAACGAAACATTTAGTCAAGTTAATTGAATGAAAAGTAACAATAATTATTAAGTTAATTCGGTAAACTGAATTAAAAAAATGTTAACAACTTCAAGTTTAGATGATAAATGATTATGATGAATGTTAGATGAGAAAAGTTTCAGCTTAATTTACTTAATTGTTAACCTTGATTGTGAGCTGAATGAGAAGCGAGTGGTTAATGTGCCGACTTGTAGATTGAAAAACTTTTTTTCACAGAGAAATTCAGTCAACACAAATCACGAATTCTGATGAGCCATCTGGTGTCTTTGGTCGTAACCATAATTCTTAATATTCTTTTTCATTTTGATAATCAATTAGCTAATTAACTGATTAACCAACAAGTATTTGTACTTAACCTTTATGCCTCTGTGATGTTGCCAATTTCTCCTGAATTGTGATTAAATGATTTTCTTAGAATAAAATCATTAAATTGTCGCGTTTTCAGTGGATTTGGCATCAATTTGATTCCAATTGATTGTCATTCAATCAATCGAAATATGAAATGTTTCAAGTGTTAACAAGTGAAAGTAATGATATTTTTTAAGGTTTTTTATTCATAATGTTGAGATGTTTTTGTTTTATTTTGATTAAGATAAATTAGTTGAACGAATTGTAAACTGATCAACTGGTTGATTAATTAGATGTCGATTTTTCTCGAAGTTACTTGTATGAAAAAGAGAAAAAAAGAAGAAGAGAGAGAGAGATTAATAATCAAAATGAGCCTTCTTGGCATTAGACGCAGAGTCGTGAACAATTTGATGAATATTAAATAAGAAAATTTTCAATAATAATTTACCTATTAAAAGTTTCTGCTGTTGAATACATGGTTATAAAAGCCAATCTGAATGGGTTTTGAAAGGAGAGCAAACCATATTGATTTTATCTATTAACATGTACAACAACCAAAATTTAATTCCAAGATTATGGATTCGATATCGCTAAGTCGCCAGCTGAAATAGGCCTAATACCATCATTATGAGCCAACATCAGAAGTTATGCAAAGCGCTGAAGTTTTATTTGTTTTGCTAATTCAGCAGCTGCTCACGGTGACAAGCATCTATCATACTGAGAATAGACTACCTGAGCATCAACGAGCCAAAATTTAAAGTAATGTTCTCATACATGATATTGGCCATTTTCTCTACTTCCTTCTAAAATTTTATTGAGATTCCATGAGACTAATAGATAATCTTTGTAGTTTTTTAAGTGAATGATAATCATCCCAACGCGACATGTATGCTGTAAGTACTCAACATTTGTCTCCACAAACGCCAGTCTGTTCAGAAGCTGTTTTTTGTAAAAGAAGTCTTGATTCGTTCTCCTGGACCAAGTGATTTGTTACGAAAGTAACGGTTTATTTATCAAAAATAATAACTGAGGTGGTTGAGGTGTGTGTAAGAAAGGAACAGGTCACAATTTTGTGAATTGATTACTGACTATTAACAACAATTAACTCAATGTGTTTATACATTAGTACAAATGATCACATATTGTAAAGATAACATAATAAACAAAGATGAAGAGGGGAAGAGAAAGAGGGAAAACAAGGGTTTGGCATTGAATCTCTAACATATACCCCTTCGAAAACATAAAGAAATTAACAATCAATTAAATAATTTTCCAATAATATTAATTTTCAATTCTTGTCCAGAGACAACAGGGACATTGAGAGGAAGATCAATAATATTAGTTGGTAAACTTTTAATGTTGCATTGCGTCAGGAACTTATTGTTGTTGAAAAAATTTCTCTATGATTAAACATAAACAATTGACCTACTGGTTGAATTATTTCTCTCTTTAATCTTGACCTAAAAGTCTGACCAGTCGTTTCTAAAGGCACATTTTTATAACTTTTGACCTGGTCATTAACAAAAACATTCGATTTCGCTCCATAAGAATGGATAACATTTAAATGATTACTGACAGTCAATAACTTGAGAAGAGGATGAAGATGGAGATGACTTATCTTCATTGCTTATTTTCCCTTGTTAATTAAAATTAATAAATTAAGTAGATTGAATTTCTTAGACACATGTCACATTGGCATATTTGACTTATTTTTTTATCAATAGTTACTATGTTAGGCTTCAACAGATTATGATATAAAAGGTGATTGCGTTTTTTAGACACGAGTCACATTGTGATATTTGAATAATATTCTTATAAATACTTATTAGGTTGGTTTACATGTACCTGTTTTGAACATTGATACCTGCCTTCAGATTTTTATTCTCTTCTATCAATTATTGTTTAAAATTGTGGTTGTTATCCTTAGCAACACTACAAATTGCATATTACACAATGATTTACATAAAACACGATGATAGGTGACGGTGGTGGATTAACCCAACGTGTGATGGTGAAATGTTTCCTTAAAAAAATTATCAACTCAAATTCAAATTTCAAGTTTTTTCCGAAAATCAAAGGCTGCGTTTTAATTGTTATAGCTAATTTAATGATTATTTTCTTTAATCAAAATAATTTCCATTTGATTACACAGCTTTACGCCACAACTCAGGTAGTTTTTCAATTCCTTCTCGATAGAAATCTATTTATAGATCCAAAGAATGAATCAAGAGCAATTTTATCGCCCGAATTTGATTTGAATTTTTTTCCTGGAGGAAGTTATTGAGAGAAAAGAAAAGATAATAGTCTGAAGGAACGGTGTCAGGGGAATAAGGAATAAGGCTTGCCCTTTATTGCTGCTTACTCTAAGTTAGCAGGCGAAAGCATAACTCTTTAAATTCACAGGTAAATTTTATTAAACCAAAATTCATCAGGAGCGTTAAGAAGACCATTCCATCTCTTGGAGAAAAAATCAACTAAAAGTTAAACTTTTTGCTCTTATTCATTAGTTTAGTCTCGTAATTTATTGCTTGAAATGTACTAAAATTTAGATAAAAAAGTTTTAATCAACTTTGTTCATTTGAAATGAGTTATGTGAACAATAAAACTTGTTCTGTATTGATAAATGATCAATTATTAATAGAATAGAAATTAAATCGACCAATTCAAGATAATTCAAGTAAACGACGTGAATTCAAATCGAAACTAAAAGTTTTAGTTCAAGAAGCTCCAAATTTTCTTTTTGATTCAATCAGCATATAAAATTGAGATGACAAAGTTTTTCTTCATTCGAAATATCGAAACAATTAAATTTTTATTAATAAATGAGCAATTAGATAATTGCTTCTCTTTTGACTTTTTCATTCATTGATTTGTACACATAATTTGATTAACATTTTTATCATTTACATTTGATTTATGATTATATGTACAAACTTAACTTATCCATGGTTAGATTGTCACTGAAGGTTTATTATTGATTGATTATTGAGATTATTATTAATAATACATGTATAATAAGTGAATGAGAATATGATTAAATGAAAAATCAAGATACACTTTTATCCTTTTTATGGCGAAACAGGTAAGTCACCCAATAGACAACATTGAAGAGACAAAACATTAACGGGAAAAATATTCTTGATACAACGTCAATACGTTTTGATCGAGTGGGAAATTTTGACCACCAACGGGAAAATATATTTTTATTTGAGTATTCGTTTCCTTTGATAACCAGTGGCCTCTGTAATGGGAGAAAAGTAAAGTAAAAAGTACGAAAAGTTATATAATATTAAATCGAATATGGACATTTGATTGGATGGATACTTTGGGGTAAACTTAATGATCGACATTCTTACCAATGCATAAGAAGTTTCATCTGAAATAACGTTACCATCTTTATCCCATCGCCTTTGGTATCTCATACCGTTGAATTCACGTGCTGCTCGATGGGCATCACTTCGAGAAGCATAATTTACCAAAGCAAATTCAAGTAGAGCACCGAAAACAAATGCTAAACAAACACCGGTCCAAACATCAATCGCTTTAATATAACTAACCGGTGGTAGGGAAGCGTTAATACCCGATATTTGGGTTGCCATTGTGAGCAAAGTTGTTACACCAAGAGAGACTCTGGCAGGTATAGCATTTGGATCCAACCAGAATGATACCCAAGAGACAATTACTAACATACAACAGGGCATATAAATTTGAATTAAATAGTAACTGAATTCCCGCTTAAAATCAAGGAAAACTTTCAGGCAACTGTATTCGCCCGTGTTGGTCCGACTGGTACAATAGGCAGTCTTTACTTTCTGTAGGGCAAATCGAGGAAGATGAAGATTTGATGTTATCTGTACAGGGTCACCATCTTTCCAACGAAATACAAGGTCATCAGTTGTATAACCATCTATTAATAATAATTAGAAAGATGAGAGAAAGAGAAAACTTTAATTAACATATTCAACCATTGAGATTATTTAATCAAGACAGGAAACCTTAATCCTTTGATCCTAATTAATTTATAATTGAACCACCTTCCTTAATTAAGCTAATTTAATCACTAATTCAAATAGTTAATCTTTAGCTTTACTGTTAATTGAGCAAAGTCAACATTTCTCTTGCGTTTTGTATCTAAATTTTATGACACTTTTCATGAAATGAGTTCTAATGAACTTTGGATTATCACTAGGCATACTGCAGCGACAGTAACGTCTGAGCGCGTGTATGCTGAAAAAGGAGAGAAAGAAGAGAAAGAAAGAAAGAGACTGAGAGAAAGAGACTGAGAGAAAGAGACTGGGAAGAAGAAGAAAAGAAACTGAGAGAGAGAAAGAAGAAGAAGAGCTGAGGAGAGGACTGGAGAGAGCTGGAGAGGACTGAGAGAGGACTGGAGAGGACTGAGAGAGGAGAGCTGAGAGATTGAGAGGGACTGAGAGAGAGGAGAGGAGAGAGGAGAGGAGAGGAGAGAGGAGGAGGGACTGAGGAGAGAGACTGAGAGAGGACTGGAGGGACTGGAGAAGAGAGAGAGAGAAAGACTGGAGGGACTGAGAGAGAGAGAGGAGCTGGGAGAGAGAGGAGAGGAGGACTGAGAGAGGACTGAGGAGAGAGAGAGAAGAGCTGAGAGAAGGGACTGAGAGAGGACTGAGAGAAGAGAGAGAAGAGAGAGAGAAGAAGAGGAAGAGAAGAGAGGACTGAGGAAAGGACTGAGAGAAAGGACTGAGGAGAGAGAGAAGAAACTGAGGAGAAAGGACTGGAGAAAGGACTGGAGAAGAGAGAAGAGAAAGAAGAAGAAGAAAGAGAGAAGGAGAGAGAGGACTGAGAGGGACTGAGGAGAGGACTGGGAAGGGACAGGAGAGAGAGAAGAGGCTGAGAGGGACTGGGAGAGGACTGGGAGAGGAGAGAGAGCTGGAGAGAGAGGAGGAGAGGGGACTGAGGAGAGGACTGGGAGAGAGAGAGAAGGGCTGAGAGACCGGAGAGGACTGAGAGAGACTGAGGAGAGAGAGGAGAGAGGCTAAGGAGAGGACTGGGAGAACTGAGGAGAGAGAGAAGAGAGGAAGAAGAGAGAGAGAGAGAAGGAGAAGAGAAGAGGACTGAGAGAAGGACTGAGAGACTGAGAGAAAGGACTGAGAGAAGAGAAGAGAAGAAAGAGCCAGGAGAGAAAGGACTGGAGAAAGGACTGAGAGAGAAGAGAAGAAGAAGAGAAGAAGAAGAAGAAGGACTGAGAGAAAGGACTGAGAGAGAGAGAGAGAAGAAAGAGCTGAGAGAAGAGACTGAGACTGAGACTGGAGAAGAAGAAGAAGCAGGAGAAAGGACTGAGAGAAAGGACTGAGAAGAGACTGAGAGAGAGAAGAGAAGAAGAGAGAAGAGAAGAAGAAAGGAGACTGAGAGAAAGAAGAAAGAGACTGAGAGAAAAAGAAGAGAGTGAATTAAAAAGAAAGAAAGTAAAAGAAAGAGAATCAAAAATTTGTAATTAGCGGTAGCGCGTACTATGGTGATAGATGCTATCGCTATCTAGCGTGAAGAAAAATTTTAAGGGTGGGCCAATCTGCAAAACTATACAGGTGATGAACCATCATCTGAACCTATTCTGAATTCGGTAAAGATTGGACCAAAATTACGATCGCTATCGTTCCACGAAATTTTGATTTTTCGACGTAAGGTCTTCGCTTACGCTCAGACAATTAATGATCATCATTAAGCCAAAATAATTAAAAAATTTCGTATATTAATCTCAGATCATTGATCAATCGTTGATTCAGGATGATCAAGCTCATCTTCATACTGAAATTTATCATTTCTAGTATGAATTGCAATATGAATAATTAACTAAATCAACAACTGAAATGATGAGCAACTATTTTGAGAAAAAATATCAAACTAACAATCATGAAGATTTGATTGGAAATTGTGGTTTATATTAATAATTTGGTTAACATTGACAAAAAAAGATTCTGATCCATGCTTTTGACAGATTGATATTCAATTCTTATTTAAATCATTTGGAAATCAATGATTCATTTTTCTTTTTCATGGTAATCAGATTATTTAATTTCTATCTCTCTATTTTTCTCAATGAAAAGTTATCAATATCATTGTGAATTCTTAGAAATAGAAGCAAAAATTTGTGACTGAAGAAAAAGTTCTTGGTAAAATTCAGCACTTTAAACTATTCATGTTTCAGATTATCAGCTAATTTCATGATATGATAAATGAATAATATCACTGACAGAAAAGAGAGAGGGAAATAGTAAAAATCATTAGCAAGAAAATGTATTGACATTATTAAACTTTAGGGTTCATATTCAGGTTGAGAATATCAATTTGTTCATCATCATGGAGGAGAAACCTTTCCACCACCATGTAAAATATTTCTCAAGATTTATATTCAACTCTTAATGACTGAGTTCACTTCATTAACAGTCAACTATTAACTCTGATGAGAAATCGTCTCAACTTATTGTTCAACTTGACTTTCTCTGTATATAAGAAATGATCAGATTAACTTGGATTCCCTGTTGATGAAATATGAATTTTTCATGAAAAAAAATAAGGAAGAAGAAACGATTTTCTATTAAGATTCAATTTCCATTGTAAATAATTTATCAAATGAACTAAAAATATCGACAGCAAATATTTTCCAAAAATGAGTTAAAACTTTTCTTTTTTCCTCTTTTCTTATTATTATCACATTTACACTCCCCTGATACCAGGGAAAAAAGTTCATTAGATTCATCCTCAAGATTTAGAATCTGAAACTTATATTAACATCTTCTTACTGTTATTATTATTATTATCATTTGCTTTTCTCCCTCATTTGATAATAATAATTCACCTTCACCATGAAATTTATTCAGATTGAGATAATTTTGATCATCATTCATTTTCGTCAGCAGAAATTTCCATCTCCATGTTTACTAGATACACTTAATTATGAAAGTTTTTCACTTGCGTGTTGATATAAATTGTTTATCATCAAATCTGTTACATTATCGTTGAATCTGAATGAACAATTTGACAACCTTTCATGGCCAATTAAGATATTACCATGTGTATACATTGAAAACTGAATACTTTACATGTAGATACCATGATGTATGTTCACAAGGATAATAATAATGATGAATAAAATTACTCATTGTTTCAATTTACACTTTAGACAGCAATTAATGATTAAAATTCTGATGAGTTGAACAGCTCAAATTCAGGAAATCGCTTCTTTTTTTGCATGTAAATGACAGAATTTGAAATTTCTCCATCATGAAGAGACAAACTCAAATTATTAACATCTCAGATCAATTCAATATTTCTCAGTTCATTTAAACCTAATTATCAGCTACCATCATGATAAACTTCAATCAACATCACAATCACATCACATGGTATCATCATGAAATAAAATCAATTGAAAACATTTTTCCTCCTACAAAATATTCAAACATCAATTATGGTTGAAAATCATCATTAATATTGTGACGATGGCGAGCAAGATATGAATTAAATTACATGCAGGTCAATTAGCACTTAATAAAGGTCACGTTTACCATGATCTAGATTATTCAATGATTATGAATTAAAGTTATGATTTTCAACCTTCAAAAATAAACATGATAAATGTGATATTCATAAATTTCATGAGGACAAAATACAAACATTTCGAGTTGAGTTTTGAATAAAAAATGATATGATAACAATCAAGTAAATGAAATTAAATAAACATTTAAAATTCTGGTCAGATTATCTCAGGACAGTTTAATCGCCCAAAATGGACAGTCCGAATTTTCCTTACCATCAGTAAATCATAATTATCGTAACAAGCAAAGGAAAATGAAATGTTGTTATTACTTGAAGGTGACATTTTTATCTGATGACAAATTAAAATAATTGTCCAATTCTCGGATCAGTTAAATTGCCCAGAAATTAAGTTATCATGGTTTCAGAATAGCAGAACTTCACTTGACATTTGAATAAACAGAATTGAGTATTTTCTTTGAATCTCGAAGATTAATATTCAACTTTAATTCGTTTCTTACTCTCATTTTGTTTCAGAAATTGTTGGATTTTAAAATGTTCCTTGGCCTCGAATGGTTGAAAGCATCTCTTATTTTCGTACTCAGATCGTCGTTAAGAGTAAGTCAACAGGTAATAGAACATATTAAGGTCCACTTCTGGCTGATTCGTAAGTGGGGCAAAGATCGAACTCATATCAATAAAGTTCGAACTTGGAAGTTTGATGAAAGTTTAATTGCTTAGAAAACAGAGACAAATATTCACGAAATCGCTGATTAGTTTTGTATAATGTTCGTTGACTAATTTTCTCTTACATACAAATGTATTAATAGTTAAATTGACTCGACAGAACGAAAAAAGTTCCAACTGAACATTATTTACCTTTTATTTTCTGATCCCAGGGTAATCGATTTTCAAGTTTTACGATTTTCTTTTTCCTCAGCTAAATCGCAAACAATTGACTGATTATTGATTTAATTCATCAAATACAATTGTTTTACATTCTTACAGTTGAGATGATCAAGATTAACTATTTGATTGTTTGATTCAGTTATAAGTTTGGCTGTTGTTAAGTAACAGTTAATTTATCGTAATCCCTAATTGTTGTTGTTAATGAAGATACTAAACTTAATTAAATAAACAAGTATCATCCTAAATTAGTGATTAGATTTGTTTTTCTTTCATTAATTGTTATTCAAATTGATTATTTAGACTTTTTTCAATCAACTGAATTGATTTTGTTCAACTGTTGAATAGCTTTCAGTTGTTAAGTAATTATTGTAATTGTGAAAAGTTTTTTCATGAGTGATTAATAGGCAACAATTAACAGTTTAATTATCATTGATTTAGTAAAATGTAATGAAAAAAAGAAGAGGAAAAGGATTAATAGATGATTAATTTTAA